TTTTAATGCTAGGTACATGCAAAAGGTTCTTTAAAAGAAATGTATGAGATGAATCTGAAGGGCTAACTATTGAATTACCATAATGAGAAATCAACAAACCTGTGCCATTACCCATATGAACTCTTTCTGAACCTTGATATTCTGACCCCAGATTTAAGTTGTTGAAGTCATAGGTGATGTGACTGTTAGCCCCTGAATCAGGATACCATGATGTTTCTGAAGTGGTGTCACTCATAGGACCTGCAACACTGTGAGTATTGGTTTGATTTACTGCAGCAAGATTGGTGTTCATTTGATTCTGAGTGAAGGATTGGTTGTTGTTGAGGCTGTTAGGTGGAACATATCCAAGATCAGTTCTGTAAAAACACCTCTCAGCTGTGTGGTTATTCCTATGGCAAATCTGGCATTTTGGACCTCTATTCATCCTTCCTCTTCCTCTGCCATATCCTCTTGCTTGTCTTCCTCCACCTCTACCATAGTTAGGCATAGACTCCGATCCTCTTCCTCTGTTACCACCAGAGCTTCTTGGAAAATTTCCTTGAGTTGAGTAGTTAGCTGTAGGAACAGATCCTTCAAGATTTACTTGGGTCTGTTCAAATTTCTCAAGTCTGGCTTCAAAGGTGAGCAAGTGTGAGGTGACTTCTGCAATGGACATTGAGTCTGCCCTTGAGGATATGGTGACCACAATGGGATTATATTCTTGTCCAAGTCCTGCCATGATGTGGAGGAGATGATCCTCGAGGGATACTTTGCTACCAGCTGCAGCAAGAGCATCACAGATGCTTTTGATTTTGTTGAGGTAGTCTCTCATGGTTTGGTTGCCTTTCTTGCTGGTTTGTAGCTGCTCTTTGAGTTGCAGGATCTTTGCCCTTGACTGGCTCGAGAAGCTCTCTTCCAGGGTCTGCCAGATCTCATGAGCTGAGTTTAGCCCAACAACTGTGATCAAGACGTTCTCTGAGAGGGATGAAAGCAACCATGACACAATGAGCTGATCTTGCTTAATCCAGCTTGCATACTGTGGATCTGGGCTTCCATCTGGCATGAACGGGTTGCTTGGTCCTTTTTCTTGCCCAGTAAGATATCCCTCAAGACCATATCCCTTCACAGCTGCAAGAATCTGATATCTCCATATGATGTAGTTGTTTTCATTTAGCTTGACTGTGATAAGTTGGCTGAGAGGTTGTAGAATCTGATGAGGGTTCGAAGTGATCTCTGATGATGAACTCATGATGAAATGGGTTTAAGGAAGGAAGATATGGTGTTTTATATTTTTTTTTTAAATCAGGCCCCAGGGGTTAAACCCGGGCTCTGATACCATAATGAAAAAGCTCAAACAATAACAGCAATGGCAGAACATGAATTTCATGATATGAAAATGATTGATAATTTTTCTACATTTGTTTCAGTGTAGCAGGCTGCTATTTATATACATCATAGGAATAATCTAGAACTAGGATAAGGAATATGCTATGGTGTTTTGTCTTTTGCATGTGATGTCATGGTAGTGTCATTAGGTAAAAGTGATTTCACTTTTGGTGAAAACCGAGCATCTCTCATCTTTTTGTTGTGCATGCAAGATGCATGTTGTCCTTTAGCAAATGTGGATTTCTCATGCTGAGGCAATGAATGCTTGGACTGTATATTTGAGTTAGATCCATTCTGAAGATTAGTGGCATCATTAGGATTAGCCTCCTTAATACATTTTTATGTAATTTTGCACAATTTAAACTTTATATAGCATTTTCAGTAAATTAGTATAGGTAACTTGTATTACATATTGATTCCATATTTTTAATTTATAAATATTATCTAATGAAAAATTTTTATTTATAAATATTAATGAATATCTTTTATCCGTGCACTGCACGAGACTCATACTATAAATAACTAAACTAAAGATCACAAAGATCTTGTTCTTTCTATAAAATACATTGAGAGTAAATGACACACTTCAAACTTTGTTCGACTCAAATTCGTATTTTCATAAGGTTTGATTATAGAATAATTTATCAACTAGGTTTCACAAATCACAAGTATCATTAATTATATTATCATCCGTTTAATTAAAAGTTTAGTAATATTAACTTCTTATTTGTTTATTTATTTCATATATAATTTGCTATAGACATGTATAATTATTTTCATTAATAACTTTTTTTTGTTATATTGGCTATAAATCTGAAGTTCTGTATTTATACTGGTATCTTGATTTTAGACTATCATGGTATTAGTTGAACCGGTTTTGATTATTATTTGTAACATATTAATTCACTTAATTGATATTCACTAAAACCTATAAATACATCCAATTTACCCGCCTACCCATGGTTATCATGTGATGGCTAGTAGATACTATCAGAAACTGCATAAGGCATAATCAAAAGCGGGTCTAAAATTTTCGGCGACAGCTTCTTTAGCTCATGTCCAACCCATGCATTGGGCTAAGCCCGGTATTTTGGCTTACTTGCTTGATTAAACAAAGCCCGGATCACTTGGGGACTAGAGAAAAGAGGCCCAATCTAACCCAAAACCGGTACCGTCCACGAATCAGGCCCAAATTTTGATATATCTGCTAAGTAAACTGTAGGGAAATTTTTACCTGTGCTACACGTTTTTAAAAAATTTGCAACTTTACCTCTCATACCAATTAAATTGTGTATTTACCTAAAAGATAAAAAGTAATTAAAGTCATGCATAATAGCAGTTACACGATATGGAACAAACTTTCCATGTTTCTAGTGCATGATTTCAGCTCTCAAGATGGAAGGATATCACATTTGAATTTCCATGGAAGGATACCCCCTCGCCGCACAGTACTCCCAATTGTCGCCTGCTCGCAAGTCCTCCGCCGTGAACTCATCTCTGTTCGCGAGCAGCAAGCCGCGAGTCTCTGCAAATCTGACGCCGCGAGCCTCCCGCCGGCGAGTATCCTCCGCGTGGACCTACGAATTTCGATCAGATGCAGTCGCGAGCCCTTGTTCACGCGTGAATTGCGGCTTCCGGCGAACCCTGTCACGACCAGACGCCGCGACCAGCCTCTTCCTCCGGCGATTAGGACCGCCGCGAGCAGACCCCGCGAGCTGTCGTCCTTAGCCTCTGCGGCCCGCTTTCCCTCCGCCATGACGGTCCTTTTCGGCGAAGTGTATACCTTAAGTATATTTTATGTATATATGGGTTCTAAAATCGATTATAAGAAACGATTGAAACTCGAGTGTTATTTAACGTATATTTTATGTATAAGTGTGTCCCGGTTGGCTTGAATTACTAGAATATTGAGTGTATATTTTATGTATATGTGTGTTGTATAACTTTGATATATACTGTATATACCCGTAACATATACCCGAAACATATAAATTTTCATACTCGAAACATATAATGAAAAAATCCTGTGTATACCCGCTATATATAGTATATGTTAGTATATATTAGTATATGTTGCAATGAAAAACATGTCTTTCATAAAAAAATTATGTCTTCTAATTCACGCGGCTGTCCAGATCGATATATGTTGCGTTTATGTTAGTATATATTCAGTATATGTGGCAATGAAAAACATGTCTTTCATGAAAATTTTATGTCTTTTTTTGTTTTTTGTAAGTTTAACGTTAATTGAAACATACGTGAATTGATAGTTTCATTAATGATATATGTGTTGTTTTCAACAAAAAAATCTTTAAATATACCAAACATAAACTAATTGTACATAACTAATATACCAAACATAAACTAATTGTACAGAAAATATACTGAGTATAAACCATACATATAAAAAAAAAATCATCAGTTTATGCTTTGTCAATATAAACCATACATACATATAAGGTAGCCCTTATATTATACAGAACATATACCCTATATATTCACAACATATACCCGATGAAAATTCAATTTTCCTGCAACCAACACATCATCTCCCCCTGATCCTGGCGACGCCGAAACCATCTTTAGAGTACGCCGACAGTAATTGAGGAAATTATCCTCCAGAAGATATTCATCTTCTCCCTCAGTCGCAATAAGGGGCTCTGATTATGCACCGTCTCCTATAATGCTCCCATCTTACATGAAAGCAAAACAAAATTCAAGTTATTTACAATTTTTCATCAAATACAGAAATTAAATGAAAACCAAACAAATAAACAATGAAAATTCGGGAAAAAAAAGGGACAAACCCATGAAGCATTTTCCCAAAATCTTCTCTCGGACCATGATCATCCTCCTCGCGACTTTCACTTTTTTTCAACGGTGTTGAAGGGGACTTATTTGGCGGAGAAGCCGTGGGACGAGGCGTGGTGGCGGGCCTCGTCGCGGAAGTTCTCGTCTGCGGGGCGGCGGTGCTTGGGTGAGGCGGAGGTGGATGCAGCGGCGGAAAGGTGATCGGAGGAGGTGGCTGTGGCGTGGACAGTGAGTGCGGACGGAGAGATGGAGATGGCGAGCGTGGAGCGATGGGTGGTTCTTTTGCAGAGAGATTGAGTATCTTCGTGTGAGATTTGTAGTGAGCATTTAATTAGTCCGAAAAAGCAGTAATTATCCCCATATCCCATATAACAGTTACACGGATAACTCTTAGGTATAATTGCAATAATTTTGGTTTGATTTAGTAATATTATAAATAAGAATATAATAAGTGTAAAATTATAATACAAATCATATCTTGTAGTAAGGAGTGTAATTTGCTCTAAACTATAAGGAGGCGATTGTATATGAATTGTACAGGAAAAAAACCAATCAAAACTCAAATTTAACTCAATTTCACTATCTCCAATATTGTTAATATAATTAAATAATATCAACCAATCATTCTTACACATCACATCAACTTTAATTCACTATTCATCCACCCACATAATTTTAACTAACCATCACTTCCAATCATTTTCTCCTACTTTTATTCAACTTTAATTATTTTATTTTAAATATAATTTTAATATATCCACATACAACTAATCATACCACTTTTTTTCAATCTTAACTATAGTTAGAAAAAACCAAACTTTTACTAGTTGAATTCATATCCAATCACGCCCTAAACTACTCGACCCAAAATAAGTCTTGCTTGATTACGAACATCAAGGTAATAGACTAGCGCCATACCCAGAGCAGCCCCGTTTCTAAAGAGAAAATTACCTCACGCATCTTATTAAGCATCTTTTGTCCTTAATTACTCCTCAACTTTTTTTTTAATCCCAACTATATCCCATAGTAATACATTACTTTTACTTGAAACTTATAAACTTGATCAAAAGACACATCAGCACCAACTTTTCGTAGCTTTGTATCACTGATATTCACTTGCACCCTCACTGGACTTCAGAACTTCATCTACAGCTTCCACCTACATCAATTTGCAAGACTAAATAAGAAAAAACACCACCAATGTTGTATTAATTGGGGAAAAAAGGGAAAAAAAAAAAAAAAATTGAATCTTGAATCATTGCAAAGGCAGGTTTCATTTGCACGAACTTGACTCGGCACATATGCTTTTGAGGTGCCAGCCGAGCACAATTTTGTCGGCTGGATTCCGTTTGGGGGCGTTAATGAAGTTTCCACACTCAAAATCTGGAATATCGAAAAGAAATAATAATATTTAGATGAGGGTTTGATTTGATGATGATATCCAAAGAGGAATGAGCATATATATATAATAGATCATTACCTGCACTTGATGTTTGAGGCTCTTCAAATATTCGATGGCTTCATCGAGCATGGTTGCTTTATCCGACTTGAGAGTGATCACAGTAGCAAAAAACACAATCGAAATTTATTATTCACAAAAATGTGCAATAAATAAAAAAGGGACGGCACAAAAACGTTTACAAAGGCATAAAATCAATTCAAACTTAGATGCAACTGAAAATTCCAAACCATGGATCACATTTATCAGATATATGTTAATTTTTAATCCATTTTACCTTACTGCAATTGGGTACAAGTTGTAGGAAAGCTTTCATTTTCTCATTGATCCTCCTTCTTCGCCTCTGTTTACACATCACTGTCATTCATCCTCAACTATATACTATGAAAAAGAAAACAGGAAAGCAAAAAAACTGTTTTTCCACAAAATCCAAATAGGATCAGTCAAAGCTCTCTCACCTTCTCACAAAGGTTATGAATTTCCGCAGTTCGTCCCCTCTTAGATCCGTTAGTTCCCTTTGCACGGATTGCTTTTTTCTCAATCACAGATTCAGTTTCAATATGCTGCACACAAACAAACACACACACCAAATTAAATAAATAAATAAATAAAAAGAAAGATTGAGCTTTCTTTGTAAAAATGATTTTTTACCTCATCTCCACTATTGCGGGAGCCCACAGAAGAAGAAAAACCGATAGCGTCGATGGCAGCATCGTTATTTGGGATTGGGACCCACTTAGCTAAGCTGGCAGTACTCATTTCAATCATCTCACTTTCATCGTCATTCAAACCGATTTCATTCTCCACGATTTGCTCGGGTGGAATTTCACCATAACTACTCGTGAATTTAGCCTCGGCAGCGTTTGCAGGGCCCAAAAGATCCAGAAAGTTCTGGAAATGCTTCTCGTTTTCCGTACTTGAAATGTCGTATGCATGATTCAAACTAGTATGATCGTCTTGCAGACTCTCGTTTATGGGATAATAAAACCAAGGGTTTGTCTCGTTTTCCTGACTAACATCAACCGACCATGGTAAAATATTATTTGAACTAGACTCTATACCACCCGATTTTTTTTCGATTCTTGAAGCAAAGTGGACATCTTCATGTACAACCTCAGCCAAATTCTTCTCACTCCTGCATGAAAAAAGATTTTCTAACACTGGAACTGATGTCTTGAACATTTTAAAATTGCCAATATAAATCTAGCAAGCTTGAATAATAAATTGGACATAAGTTAGTGAAAAAGGTGGCCTTGCCTAGAAGACGGATCAGCCCAACACTGTTTTTCTCCGCCGGATTCGAGCTTTTCCACAGCTAATCTCAAAAACTCCGACAGAGGCATTTTTTGGGAATTCATATAATACAACTGCACCAAGTAAGAAATTAAATGAAATTGAAGATGACAGATAGCAAAAACATAGTTTGCAAAACCAAGGTACTCACCAACATCCACAATTAGTTAATACTGAGCAGCCTTACAGTTACAGAGCAACAATTAGCTGGATCTTAATCAGTAAGGCCAAAGGTTACAACACAGCAGCCAAAAACAATATATACCATTTCCACTCTAAACCCATTGATTTAATCCTAAATAGCAATAATACCTCTAAAAGAAACAGTACAGTTTTGAGCCCAAGCTCGAAACTTTTTCTTATCTGGATTTTGATCGTTAGAAGAGAAACCCCACAAGAAATTCTTATAATCATAATCGTAATAGACATTAAATTACCTTGAGGAGTGCAAAACCAACCTCTCACATCAGCTCATCAGCCATCAACTTTTTCTTGTTCCAAATAAATAAAGGACGAATCTTTCTTCCAAAACAATTCCCCAAACCCAAGTCTTAAAAAGAAAAATAAACTTTGTGATATGAGGGGCGCGTAGAGGTCGGCGGGAAGGCCTTGCGGGCATACACGTGGCAAGTTAACGCTCTAGGAGCAGCTGACACACCCTCCTTGCGAAATAAAAAAAGGGTAAAGAAAATATAAAGGAAATGTGATTATCTTGTATAAATTCGCGTAAAAGGTTTTTTTTTTCTTTTTTCTTTTTTTTTTTTATTAAAAAAGAAAAAAGAAATGCTAAAATTGCTTTTTCTATCTTTTCACTCTTACAACAATCGTTGATTAGACTTGGACAGAGTTCCACCATATATACTTTGAAAATCTTGTCACTTGACCATTAACGCATCTCCAATGTGGCTTTTGACATTATAAAAATTCATCATATAATCAACTTTTGAAAGTGTGTTACAAATTTATTCTCCAATGCATCTAGTCATGAACTCTTTCATGATGAGATGGATAGCATTTAATGTTAACAATGTGGAACACACTTTCTAATATCTAACATCATGTTAAACATGATGACTAATCAATTCACTTCATATTTGATTTAATTTTTTATTGTTCTTGTATTAATGATTATTTTAATTGGTCCACCTATACAAATAACTTCTTATGAAATTGATGCATTGGAGATACTAGTTTGATTCAAATTTCTACTCTTTTAACATTATTTCTACATGGATTAACATTACAATTATTGATTGACATGTGTTAAAAATCATTGTCTTTCAAAGCTATAACATTGGAGATGCTCTTATATTGAATGTCTTTGAGATAATTTTTTCCCAAAAGACTGAAGACAATTACAACAATGAGAAGCCCAATACATTGGAAATGGTGAAAGGTCGATATAGACGAGACCACGGGTTGAACCGGTCCGTCAATTTGGCCCGGAACACGTACGGTCAAACCGATTGATCGCGAGTCGAGAATCGGCCAGTGGTTTACTTGGGTCAGTTCAAATTTAAGCACTCACAAATTGAATTAGTGATTGAGTTTGGAGTTGGAATCGGAACCTACAGTTCGGCAATATTTTTTTTTTTTTTTTGAATTTTTTATTTTGTTTTATACATCAGTTCGGCCCGAAATTGGCGGGCTAGTTATGAACCGTGAACCGCCGGTTCACTTAACCGACTCGTATATATTTTCGGGTTAGGTTCACATAAAATGTGCAGCGGAACTGGCTCGAAACCCTTTTTTGGCTGCCTCTATATGGACTCAAGTCTTTTATGGTTACATAGGGTGTGATTGGATATAACTTATTTTGGTTTTGAATTAATTTGTTGGTTAACTAGAGTAAAGTTTGAAAAAAAATTGGTTGGGTTAAGTTTGAGTAAAATTTTGAGTTTGTATTGAAATAATAATCAAAATAAAATAATTAAAGTTGATTTGATGTGAAAGTAGAAAAGTGTTAGATTGGAAGTGATGGATGGGATAAGGGTCCTTTAACTTTCACACTTTTGTAATTTGGTCCGCTTTGATTTTAAAACATAGTTTTCGTCTGGCAACTTTATTTTTACCAGCATTTTTATGTTAAATCGGCCCGACAGGCCAATTTTAGCCATTTTAGCTTATGTGGCACGGACACTTCCTACATGGACCCGAATTTCTCCAGACCTGCTATAAATTACATGAATTGGGGCGAAATAAATTGCCCTAATTTTATTTCCCAAAACTCTCAAGCCATCGTGAGAAGCATGTCACCTTCTTCTTCTAGTCAATGGGCGAACATAATTTGTCGATGTGGGAAGCTACACAAGTTCGAACTTCTTGAACCCAAGATAACCCTGGACGAAGATTTTAAAGGTGCACCGGAAGAAGGTATGTTGCAATTGAAAAGTAAACCACAATTTTGGCCTCAAAATATAATGAGTGCATTTTCTCAATATTTGATACGAAGACGAATGCAATTTCTTTAATTATTTAGATGGTCCAATTGTGAGAGAGTCGGTTGTTTTGATTCTTTATTTCAAAAACAAAGCTCGAAAGCTTGAAGAAGCGATTGTGAATTTGGAAGAAGGAATTTGAAGCTGAAGGAAACAAATGCTAAGTTGCAAGAACAAAAAGTCAAGCTAGAAAGTGAAGTTGTAAACATAAAAGAAATAAGGATTGACCAAATTTAGGACGAAAAATCTGGATAAAATAAAGTTATCGGACGAAGAATATGTTTTAAAATCGAAGCAGGCCAAATTACGAAAATATAAAAGTTAAATGACGTTTTTTTTTCGGTTATTAAAATTAGATGAGAGTTGATGAATTGTGAATTAAAGTTGATGTGATGTGTGAGGATGATTGAGTTGTATTAATTAATTATATTGATAATATTGAGAAGAGTTGAGTTGATTTAAATGGAATTAGGCTTTGAGTAAAAAAAAATAAAACAAAAAATAAATTGAGTAGTCAAAATGATTGGGTCATTGGGACACCTATAATATTTTTTATCTCATTAATTCATTTTTAGTTCAAGTTTTATTATACCGGATTGTATTCCTCACGTAACGGCATAACTGATTTCTAGTAACATAGCTTATTATTCTGATAATTTTTTTGGGATGCCATTATTGTGTGTTTTTCTAGAAAGAAAATTAGTATTTTTTTATAACGTAAAACTAATATGATAGGAGAAGTAATATTTAAAAATAATGTCATAGAGAAAATTAAACACAGATTCAAGGTTAGAAGTACGAGTACTTGTAAATATTGAACTTTATATAAAAATCTAGTAATGATTAAATTTAGCTTAAAAAACATATTAGTAAATTTAATAAAGAAACGGTGAAATGTGCAAACAATAGGGGTCCAAAGTTTGTTTAATGAAATAACGGATTATATTTCCAATTCGATATTTTTCCCGTCCGTTCGTTTATCAATTTTGTTTTAAAATTTTAATGTCCAATAGTGTAGAGAAATAGAGTAAAGGCCAAACATGTTTAACAAAACTAGCTTCTTGAAAATCCAGCTATTGGGTAGGCAAGCATCAATGAAGCAAAAACATAGTCAGGAACATAATTTAAAATAAAACATCGATTTTTCATAAATTTTCCGACAAGTTAGTATGGATTGCACAAAAAACATGATGCATTCTTAGAACATCTTCAACTCCTAGCATAGTTCCCCAACTGTAGTAAAGCTGAATTGCTTGCACAATTATTTGAGGAAAATATTTCATTCTTTTTCCAAACAAGTTCTTTGATTTAACACTAATCGTATTAGCACTAACAAAAGAAAAAGAAATAACACTTTAAAAATTGGAAAAATCTGTTAAAAATTCAAATCACCCATTGTTGATAAAGCGTATCGGTGAGTTATTTCAAAAACTAGTTTTTAATCAACCCATTATAATCTTCTGCACTCTGTATTTTTTAGAATTCTTTTCAAAGTTGTGGTGCTGGAATTATCAATACAACTTCTGTAGAAATAAATATTCTTGCACCTTAACCAACAATAAACACAAGCCATAAGCTCAAATCCTCAATTCTTCTTCCCTTTTGTTTCCTTTCCAGGGTTGATGGTTTTGAAAGGGATGAAGGCCTTGCCTCCCATGAAGGCTCTTAGGGCCTCGGGTATTTCAACTCCATCCTCTTTCTGGTTGTTCTCCAGGATACAGCAGATTGTCCTCTCGGTTGCTGTCAGTGTTGAGTTGAGCATGTGCACGTATTCCTTGGCCTTGTCGTTACTCTGTAACCACCATAACCATAAAAAAGAAAATAAAAAAAAAATAAAAACAAATTAAGATAATCCTTTTCCCCCTTCTTTAGTGAGGCGGTTTGTAAAATATAGACTAATGCCTCAAAGGTAGTTTTTGCAGTTACTGTCATAAAGACTGACCTTTTTCTGCCCGTAACGGACTTCTAATCTCCTTGACTGATAGTCAGTGCAGTTTGAGCACGAAACGAGTTCTCTGTAAGTCTTTGATGCCGGGAACCACCCTTCCAGATCATACTTCTTTGCTGCAGCATCGTTCAGTGCACCCGAGACAATTGAGACAACTTGGTACGGAATATTCAGCTGCGCACAAAGAAATGATTGTCATAAATTTGCATAAAAGAGCACATTGACGATCTCAAAACATCCATCTCTATCCTCATTAATGAGGGTCATTATTGGCAAAAAAAAGATTCTTAATTACTGCAACTTCTCAAAACGACACTTATTAAAAAAAGGAGGGAGTATGAGAAACTGATCAATAGGGGAAGCTGAGAAGGATACCTGTTTGTAAAAATCTTCGGCATTCTTTAGCATCTCCTCATGCATCTCCCAGGAATCATTTCGGTTGGGACTGGTTACACAGAATTGTTCCACCTTTTCAAACTGATGAACACGGAAAATCCCCAAAGTGTCCCTACCATGTGAACCGGCTTCTTTGCGAAAGCACGAGGAGTATCCAGCATATCTGATATAACTCATAATGTCAGAAAGCGTTAAGGAGACGGAAAAAAATATTTTTTTAAAAACCAAAATAATAAATTGAAGCAAAAACAGAACCCGTTAAAACTTTTGGGTGCTTAGAAACAGTTTGAAAAAATTACAGAAAAAAAATAGAAATGGATCGTGAATATTGACCAGACAAGCCGACCAATATGCACATTTTCAAAAAGATCAGATACCTCAATGGTAGCTGGGAAGGGTGAATCCAATCGTCCAGGTGATATGCACAAAGCGGCTGTTCAGCAGTGGCAATCAGATATTTATCATCTCCATCTCCACTTACCTGCAAAAATTCGAAACGTTTTGGGTAGAGCCATAACAAAATGGTGCAACAATATGATACAAAACACAGAAGCCCTTTTATTTTTGTTNAAAAAGCATTGTATACAGTTTGATGACATCCATCATCTACTCAAAATTTTTGTGAGCATTCATAAGCTAAACTACCTTAGCTTTGCACTTTTAATTCACAGGTAGAACTATTTATGTTCTCAACACTTCATAACTAAATGCACGCGATCATCTAAATCTTATTGCCACTTGGAATTTACATTGTTTCTAACTAAAAACAGCTGCAGCCAATGGAATTTAAGAAAGCAATATTCTAAAAGGCATGTAAGGATCACTGAAATATCATATCTTCAGACACTTGGTGAAAATAGTTTATCTTTTCCTCTATAACAGGGATATCAAACTAGTCTACCTTGTAAAGTTCCTCATCGAATTGAGCCAACTGAGCACATTTCGCCATAATATCTTTCCTCATGAAAAAAGGGGTCTGCAAAGCAGTAAAGCTCCTCTTCTCCAAAAAATCAAGAGCCAAGTTGATCAGAGCTTGATTGAGTCGTACTCCATCTCCTTTGAGATAGAAACCTCTGCCTCCCGCTACATTTGCACCTAAAAACATTCACAAACATTATATTGGCAAGCTAGTTAATATCAAAATTCAATACAATCGACACAGTAAGTGCAATAACGAGAAATATCAGAAATTCTAGAAATGGTAGATGGTAGTCAAGGAAGTTTGCTGCTCTCCAAAAACACTACCAATTCTTGCGCTCCAGTTAGCATCCCCTCATCCCACATAGAAAATTGACATTCAAGAGCTAATATAGCCCTACTAAATCACCAGAATGGAAACAGAATGGTCGTATAATAATCAGCAATAATAACTTCGGGTAACAAGAAAATCATAACTAGCATAAAAGCCAAGACAGATGTTTTCAAAAACCCCTTGTCTTATTGGTAATACAGTGCAGATATATGTTTCTATTTTGTGGATGCCATGACAAGCACAAAGTGGTATTTGACTGAGATGATCCTGATTTCAGTGAAAAAATAATTTTTACTTACATCCTGAAATAGAATGCCCAAATAACATGGAATGTGCAACAATGTGACTCAAGTAGTCATGATCTCTTACATATAACTCATAGGCCAACTCAAAAAACCAGCCTAAAACAGTCAAAATTATTCTATTAATCATGTTTGAAAAAGTGAACACCTTTCTTTAAATCTGCAATTCCAAGAAGCTCAACAAGCTCCACATGATTCTTAAGCTTTGGTTCAGATCGCTTCTCTCCCCATGACCTAATAATGGCATTATTATCCTGTAAAACATCTCATCAGTCATTGATAAACTTATTAGTCACAAGAGAACAAGTGATCTATATACCAAAGACACACCTCATTATTGTCAACAGGGACCGAATCATGCACCAAGTTTCCAATAACAGCCAATTTAGTCTGAACAGCTGCTAGGGCCTCCTGGACCTCTGCCTCCTTCTTTGCAGTCAATTCTTTGTTCTCCTCAGTAGAGGCAATCATTGTACTTGCATCTTCTTTCGCCTGAAACCATAAAGGAATGAAGTCCACGATTTAACACATAAAGAGAGACATATGCAGATCAGCTTTCTAAAAATTCTCATCTGTAACCCAAATAAAGTAATAGATCCATCTATGGTGAAACTTAAAAGCAATAAATAAGACCCACTTTTGACAATCTAAACTGCTGTCAGAGGCACACATTCCATATGTAAAATGCTACAAAGCTTGAGCTTTTGTCACATTTCAACTTCTGTTCTTCATCTGACTCTATAACAGGCATACACCACAAAAGAATGTAATAAGTACAACCAACACTGCCATACAATACAAACCAATGGAACGGGGCAAAAACATAGAAAATGTTTCACTCACAGTCCACAGCCTTCTTATTTTATCCACATTTTGATTTTTTACGAAGCCAGGCATAGGAGAAAATTCACCAAGCCAGGCATAGGAGAAAATTCGCACCATAGACGATTCTAAGTGCATTTTATTCAACAACTCTGAATCCATATTTTCATTAAAAATATACATACTAACTGAACATCAAAAGCAATAATAGCACTCACAATTTTGAGGCGGGCAATCTCTTTGCTTAGTCTGTTCCTATCTGTCCTCAACCCATCCAACTCGAATTGCCCTACAGTAATATCACCACTCACAATTGGTAAACTCCTCAAAATGATTAGAAGAAAAAAAAAAAGAGTGAAAAATGAAAACTTACGCTGCCGCCAAATTTTGTCGAGCTCGATGACCTCATCCACAAGATCCACATTAGCAAAACGACGCCGCTGGGACTCCCTAATTTTCTCAGGGTTGCCACCTTTCTCTTCACGAAAGAGATTGATGTCCAACATACTAACACTCAGTCGACGTAATCAGCTCCCTTTACCCGCTGCTTTCAGCTTCCGATGCTCGGGCTCTTCAAAACAGGAGAAGTGTTTTGGGGCGTCGCGGCTGCACGTACTGACGCGGCTGCTCCTCACCGTGAATAGAAGACGAAGGATCGGAAAAATGCCGAATTTGATGAAAAACCCTGGGGGCAGAAATTAGGGTTTTAAAGCAAGCAAATAAATAAAACGGCAAATTTCTTGTACTCCTCTCAATATATACATGTACTTTCTTTTACACATTGTCCTATAAAAAATATATACATATACTTTCTTTTACACATTGTCCAATAAAAAATATATACATGTACTTTCTTTTACACATTATCCTATAAAAAAGTCCCCCCAAATAAAAATAAAGCACAATAAAAAAAGTAAGAATGAATCTGTACCTTGTGATCAATTCAAATTTTAATAATCACAGTAAAAATTATGATGGCATTATGATAATTATTTGATCATACAGTGATCAAATATGTGCATTTGACCATAAAGGTATAATGATCATTACAATAATTAACAACCCATTTGGTAGACCCCACACCAACTCACCCCATATCTCTTTCATGCACTCACACCATAACACACACCACCCACGCACACCGTCGCACACACGCACACAGTTCAGGTGCTTGCCTCTTACAGCAACTAGTCTCGTCGCCCGCCCACTCACAACAACTGGCAGTCGACTCTTCTCCTCCGACGACCATCCACAGTCGGATGTTCACCTCCCACGACCACCGCAAACGCTCCGCACATCTACCGTTGTCAGGGACCACCATCATCGGTGCCTTAACAGATGGTCGCCGCGCTTTCTCTTTCCGGCACCGATCTGAATGAGAGAAAGAGGCTCTCATGGATAAACCGGCGTATCGTCCGCTGTCCATATACGCCGCTGCTTCTTCTACAACGTGCCGCTGGCCGGGTGAGGATGGTTATGCGACGCCGCGCCACTGTGCTCGACGGCGCCGAGAGTCGGGATTGGATAAAATTCCGAAAGTCAGTGGTGGTGGCATCTTCGAGGGCGACGGTGGGTGGTGGTGCGGCAGTGGACAAACGGGCGTCGATTTGGGTGAAGATTGAGGAGGCGGCTCTAGGAATGAGTTTGGGGGGATTGTGTTTGGAAATTAGATAAGCCATAGGGACCTACTTGTAAATTAAGAAAATAGTTTTATTTCAATTTAGTTCATGGGTTAAATTTATAATTTTTAAAAATTTAAGATTACGCAAAATTAATTAATAATTCTCACAATATTAATAAGAGAACCAAATAGATTGAACTTTCGTCACAAATCAATATAAAACCGAATTTCTCCCTTAACATTAATGGCAAAAAATGTGGGTATGTATCCCCCTCCAGAGGGCTTGGACATGGAGATTCAATCTTTCTTTACCTTTTCATTATTGTTTCTGAGTTGCTCTCTTGCCTCTTGAAAAAGTCAATCCTGTAAGGTTCTATGACTGGGCTTAAAATTTCAAGGTCTGGTCCTACCATCTCCCACCTTTTCTTTGCAAATGATATCTTGCTATCTAGTCAAGCCTACCATTCAAGCCTCTGAGATTTTGAATATCCTTCACAATTACCACATTTTCTCTGGTTAAAAAATAAATTTGTCAAAGTCCTATATCTTCTTCAGTAAAAACACCCCTCCTTCAATTCAAGCTGATATCTGTGGACTCTTCAATGGTGTCCAAATCCAGTTTTCAACCAGATACTTAGGCCTTCTTCTACGAAGCCACTCAAAAAAACAACTTGAATTTGGTCATTGAGGTGGTTAAAAATAGAATCCCACAATTTGAAAAACAAATTTACGTCATCTGCTGGTAAATAAGTCCTTACTAAAGCTGTCCTAAATGCTCTGCCCACCTTTGTGATGTCTTGCTTTCTTCTTCCCTCAGGCCTCTACAGTAAAATCTTTAAATTAATTGCCAATTTTTGGTGGTCCACGGGAGGGAATCAAGATAAAGGGTTACACTGGAAAAAGTGAAAACACTTAACTCTCCCTACTGTGAATGGTGGTATTGGTTTTACTGATCTTAAGCTTTTCAATGAGGCCCTTATTCTAAAGCAATTGTGGAATTGTGGAGAGTTTACTCTAATCTAAATTTTCTTATGAGTAAGGTCTTAAAGAGTAAGTATTTCCCAAATTGTTATTTCTTTTATTTTAAACCTCCTCAAAGCAGTTCCTGGCTTTGGAGGAGCTGGATGAGTGTGAATCCCACATTTGAGCAGGGGTTGATTGTGATCATCAGAGATGGTAAGAACACAAGAATTGAGGACCACCATTGGGTTCTCTCACTTTCGAACCACAAGCCAAGCAGAAGGGACCCTCATACCCCCAATAACCTCACTTGGGTCTGGGATGAGGCTTGGAATGAAGATCTAATCAGACAAACTTTCAGTCCCTCAGATAGTGCAACCTACTCAGCATCTCCACCGTTAACAAAGTCCAAAAGGATATGATTGCTTGGAATTCCAGCAAGAAGGGCAATTTCTTTGTGGCATCCTCTTATGAGTTTTTAATCAAAGGCAAAGTTCTTGGCCTAGACATCCCTAAATCAAGTAGCCAATCCATTTGGATTAACAAAGTCAAAAGCATCAGTTGGAAACATAAAGTTAAGAAGAAGATAAAACACTTCATCTGGAAATGCTTCTATGGCATCCTTGCATCCCAGACCAACCTAAGCAAAAGTGGACATCATCTGCAAAGCTTGTGGTGAATCAGATGAGACAGTAGAACACTTGCTCTCAATTTCCCCAGAGCCAAGATGGTCTGGAGATTAGCACCTGTGACTTGGAATGAAGTGCAGAAAGACATCATCTGCTTCAGAACTTGGTAGAAAAACTTGGTAAAAAGAAGTCTGCCTGATGCACAAAAACAAAAAAGTTGTGGAGCGGATCCAATTAACAACCTACATCTTGTGGTGTTTATGGAAATCAAAGAACCTTTGAGTCTTCAAGAACCAGTGGCAGACAAAAAAGACTATTGTGGACTCGGCTTATTCTGATTGGCTTGAATTCTCCTTTGTTAGTTAGTTTGTTGAGTTTTCTTTTCTAGCAAGATTTGTGTTTTCAGTTGCTAGGTTGGTATTGGTTCGTATAATAGTTAGTCTCAGAGCTTCAATATCTTATACTGCCCAATAAACAAGCTATTAGTCCCTTCACCCCTCATAGGCCAGCAAGGTCTGGTCCTCCAGTTGTTATTTGTGTTTTGTTCTAGTTAGTAGTTAGTAGTCTGTTGGGCTTGGTTGTTTTCCAGTTGCTTGTTGTGTGTTGTAAGGCCTCGGGCTCCTGAACTCTGTTTTCTACTACTCTATTACAGTATATTCATCATTTTGAAAAAAGAAAGGAAAAATATTTTGAAAAATGCTATTTGTACAATGAGTTTGACAATGCCAAGTCAATTACTAATTTGACCTCAAAATATTACTTGATAAATTTACCTTGTATTGTTTTGTAGAAGAGTACTTTATATAATTTAAAAAAAGTTGTCTAGTTTACTTAAGAACAATACATAAATTTATATATTTCAGATAATATATTTGTATATATATATATATATATATATACATATATATTTATTCTCGCAATAACTATTATTTATGTGAAACACAAGAATAAAAATAAATAAGTACATTTATACATATAATTCAATTTTTTTATAAATTAATTATTATAAGTAAACATAAACACAAATAAAATATTTGTCTTATTTTTGTTGCTATTTTTGTTGGTATTCTGTTTGTCTTTTTCCCCATTTTAGGTCGTTTCTTAGGTTTTTCTGGTCCTCCGAGTCGTTCTCGTGTTTTATTGTTATTTTGGTGTGTTTAGTGTTTTCTTTGTTTTTCTTCCTATTTTCCCTTGTTTTTGTGTTTTTCCGGTTGTGGTGATTTCAAGTTTTGGACGAGAGAGAAGTAAAATAGTACCGGTTCCCAGGAGTTCCATACCGATTCGAGCAACCAAACATGCGGGAATCGAGATCCCAGCTCGGGAAAGACTCGAGAGATGCTAGCCGAGAGCACGCGAGCTCGGAACGTCATCATTTTTTAGCTGCTAGGCCGGGTTAGCTAGCGGCGCTACACTTCCTTAACGACCCCAGAAGCCCGATGTTTTTCACCCTTAGCGGCACTAACCCCTGTTTCGTAACTGATGCTATTTTCTCATAATTTCGAATAGGAGGGTTTGAGGATCGATTGGAGGGCAGTTTTTACACATTCCAGACCTTGTAATTTCATCTTCTTCACTACCAAAACATATTTTTCTCTTAGTTTTGATTGGGATTCAATCTTGGAAGGTGAAAACCTCAAGATTAATCTTTCGGATTTGGGATTGCACTTGGATTCAACACTTTGATTTACATTAATCGTAAGCTTTTGCTTTAATTTGGATCATGATTATGATGGCTTTATTTGATGTGATTCTTGATGTTAAATTCATTATGAGTGGCTAAATTCGTTAGTTAGGGATGGAGGATGATTGTATCGGTTTGTTTACGATTACGTGCTCGTTAATTTTTCAATCTATGCGAGTTGTGGTAATTCTAGGGTTAGTTGATTGATCACCATTCTAACCTAGTTAATCGACTTTTAGAACCGAAAGGGGAGAAGTCGGTCGATTTAGGCTCGTTTAGAATAGACTTGTTCGTTATTGTATTATCTATGTGTTATTGGATTTGATAGTTGATCGTTTACATTCACACTCTTGTTACGAAGAGTTATTGAGAGTGAACCTCTAGACGAGTTAGCTTTTCGAGTCTTCTAACCGAACAATTAATTGCCAGGTAGTTGCAATTGGAACCGAAAACGATTATCCCCGACTCCCTAGCTTTTCTATCATTACGTGAATTTGTTTACAATTGAATTTTCGAATTGCCTTGTTTGAGAATCATGAGTTGCTAATCAAAACCCAACCAATTGAATTAGAGTGTTTAGGAATTTGTTTTCTCTTTCGTGTGATTGAATAATCATGCAAATTAATCCGGTTAACCTTCCTCGCGATACAACCCGGGGATTGAATCTTTTGATTGAACTCCGGTAAAAATAACTACAACGTACATAAAACAAAGATAAATTGTTAAAATGTAAATACTATAAAATATATAAATAAATAAGTCATATATTTTTATATCTATATAAATATAAAAATGTTTGACATTTACTTGAAATAGCAAC